AGCTTGCTCATGAGAGCTTGGTAGATAACATGTTGCTGTATAATCACTTGCTTCTCCTTCGCATGGTGCTATACCTTTATCTGGCGTCACCGGACTAAAACTGAATCCGTATAAATTTAGCCCTTAATCTTATTTTTGGGTGGACGATCGTGTGTAGACGGTTATTTCGGCGCTTGAAGATTAGAGATTATAGTAACCACTACTGGCCAAACTTGGGAATCTCAACGGGTCAGACTTAAGAGATTGTAGCCAATGTTCAATGAACATCCTAACTAGCGCCATTGGAGATCATTTATCCTAGGACCAGCCAGGCTACATGAGTAAGTAAACTATTCCAACACACCTACTGATTCGAGAACCTCGAAAGCGGGCAAGTTTCTAAGGATTTTAGACAACTCAATTTTCAGTAGCGGAAGTCTATACTGGTATGAATGTGATGTTTTTTCTGGGCGTCTTTGATGACAGGCAATGGCGCTACTGTGTAACCTTATAGGCCTGAATTGAGGAGCTAACATGTAGGCTCAAGAACATCACGTTCAGATTACGCCGAAAAAAGGCAACAGTAAACTTTCATTAATAGTAGAGACCTTGTATGTATTGCAGCTCGAGATTATTCTTAAAGAGCCCTCCTGAGAACTGGAATTTTGGCAGGTCAACCTCCCAGCCTCGAAAGCCAAGTTAAAGTCAGTGTTCAGGTTGGCAGTGGCTAGTTAGAAAAGACTTAGAGGAAAAAACTTCCAAATGGACCTAATAAATGATAATTCGACAAAAATCCGACCGCACAAAGTATCGCTATTTATAAATAAATAACATCACGATCCATCGCCTAAAGCGCAAAGAGTGTTACGTAGTAGTACCAACAAACAAACACTCGTTCGTAGGTATTGCTCTACTGCCAGCGCCGCACAATGCGCATTTCGTCTCCACAACAACACAAAAGATACTATTTTGATAGCAGGTTTGTCGGTATACCCCGTAGACCCCGAAAAGTTGTTCTATTACATTATAACTGCAGCGCATGTGAACTCACTTGTACATACTCAGTGAACCACGACCTTAAATCGGAGCTGAATTGAAGATATATCGATTTCTTAGTAGTTGATACATTTTTCTCTAACATAATATTCACAGGCGTATTTAACACTAGCTAGGAATGACTATCGAAAACTGGCCAATGACTATCAGTCAATAGTCGTCGGTGATCATTTCTAAGAGATCACGTATAGTATGCGCTATGGTACGGTACTTGCCTGGTGTTGATGAGGTACTGGGCCAGGTTGATGGCCTCGGGGGTGCCTGAGATGGACACACAGCGCTCCTTGCTGCCCTCCTCCGTGTTGGAGATCTTGATCGTCGCCCCGGACAGCTGGCGGATCTCGTTGATCTTCGCGCCGCCTTTACCGATTACACAGCCAATTAAATCATTGGGAATTTGCATCTCCTGCGTCGACGAAACAGCGACGGGCACGCCGCCGACGCCAGGTGCGCCCACGCCGACGCCTCCGACACCGACGCCGCCTACTCCGACCCCGCCCACGCCACCGACGCCGCCAACGCCAACGACGGCGCTGAGTTGTGAGCCGGCCACCCCCACCCCGGCTACAGCGCCGCCCATGCCGCCGCCCACACCGCCACAACCGACGCCACCACGGCCCGCAGCCGACTGGCTTTGAGCCAAAGCGGCGAGGGCTGCCGCTATAGGTAGTAAAAAGCGTTACCAACGTCGCGTCGTGTAGCGGCAGAAGTCGAAGTAGTGACAGACACGAGGAAGACGGGAGATGTAAGATAATCGGCAGGTAATGATCGAACGATGATAGCAGATGACGGCAGAAATTTGGCATTATTGACAGGTGTTATTATTGAAGAGGAATTGCAGGAAAACAGGTACACGACAGAGGTCGACAGAAATGCGGATGCACGAGCATATTCACATAAACGTCGAAATTGTTGGTTTACGTGTGTGGACGCCCACACGTGTACACGTACGAGCGTGAAAGAGACAAGGATATAGAAGATAAAAGCAACGCAAACGAGAACACAATTAGGCAAGATTTGTTAGTTTGTCTTTTGTTCTACGCTGATACAATTCATATGATTCACTGCCTATTAAATAATCGTGCTATATAGTTAAAATGCGATAATTATAATGAGCAGCTGCATCTTCCAAGATAATCGTTACGTGTTTTGGTTTCATGACTGAAAGCAAACTTTACCTCGCACTCGCTGGGTATACGTAATAAAAAAAAAATAGGGAGCTATTTAGAGCTGATTCCTATGAAAAACTTACAGGCATAAACATGCATATAATCGAAATAGCCATAATGTAGTGTTGACATGAAACAAAGGCATTTGCATGTTAACAGCAGAAAGAAAAAACATAGAAAAACAGTGATTTTAATACATTACCCATAACTGAAATGTGGCCGAAACGGAAAAGCAAACAAAAAAGACTCGTGTAAGTGTATCGAAAGTAAATCGAAAGCTCCTTATAACTATCAATATCTACTATGTTAACTCATCTATATGGCCGCGTATTTGCAAGCTCATTTTTAGTGTCTCCTCTTCAGCACAAGTTCAAAGAAGTAGGCAAAAAATTAAGTTACCGTTTTCTATAGTTTTTTGACAAAATATGCTCAGGCTACACCAGTAGTGGATTCTATTATAAATAAGAGGTCTATTTCAAGCCACTTATTTTACTGATTGGCAACTTGTTAAAGAACGGATCAGCATTACGCCGTCCGCGGCTCTGGCAATGGAAATAAATACCGTACGCAATGCCATCCGGTGGCAGTATAACGATCATAACATAGGTTCATTGCGACAAGAAGTACTACAACCTTTGCTGCTACTGCTGCTGCTGCTGCTGCTGCTGCTGCTGCTGCTGCTGCTGCTGCTGCTGCTGCTGCTGCTGCTGCTGCTGTTATTCTGTTGGAAATGACGCAAACGACTGCGAGCTAAGGCGCATGAAGAGGCGAACGGTAGATGGCGGGCCAATATATAGAAAGCGTGAAACGGAGATGGGTCGCTAGCTTCGTGCTAAGCACAAATGATTTGTTCAACAAACACTACGGTATAAATGGCCAAACAGCTCCAAGAAAGGACAAGCCGCGAAACGAAACAATGAACGCAGCATACAAACACACGCACAAAGGACAAGCGAAAACATTCGTGACTAACTTTTGGGCTACCGAACTATCTTCACAGCCGGCAGCAGCAGCAGCAGTAGCAACAACGACAACAAACGCTACGTAAGATTAATGATACGTAAACAACAAAGCAAAATGACCGCTGCGTATAATATGCCGCTTAAGGGGAAAAGTGAACGTAAAACAGTTAACTGGTTTGCTAAACAGGCTGAGGCTGACGCTGACGTTACAAAGGGCGGAAGCGTGACTGACATTGGGAACGCGACAAAATGCTTCATCAAACAAACGCGTGTCAAAGATCTGGAGCCGATAGGCTTTCAGCGTCTCACCTACTCTTGCAAAATCCCAGACAGCAGCCAAAGGAGGGGGGAGTACGCCGGACCATAAAGCATGGCAACGAAATGATGGCTAAGTACATGGACGAAGTAGCTGATTGAGGCAACACTCGACGGCTATACGTGCCTACGTGCATGTATATGCGTAGCACGTAGAAATCAAGAGACATTTCGAAGACTATTGAAGGCAGCGATGCGAACACTATTGCCGGGTCCAAATGCATAATTTCAATCAAATTATTTCATTTTGAGTCATCAGGGACTGCCGATACCATAGAGAATATATAATATGTAGCCGATCTATTACGAAGCAGTGTTTAAAGGTACGAATAGGTGAAACGTACGTGTAATGGGTAGTAGCTACCTATACTTCAGCACATGGCTGATGGAAGCATGTGTTTAGGCGTCCCTATAGGTATCCTAAGTGGCTCGGAACGTGGCGGAACCAAAGGAGCATATGTATAAAAATAAAGCTGTGGGATCAAAGAATAATCGTGAACTACTAAGTGAAAATGGTTTCTAGGGTTCAGTTTCAGCCGTTAGTAGGACTCGCTTTGATGACCGCCTATATAAATGCAACATGGCAAGTAATCACCAACTTAATTGCAGCAGACAGTAAGTTTGTATGAACTAATCTTTTGTTTTGGAGAACCTTGCGATTAGTTGAAAATATGAACGAGACTATAGATTACGGGTTGCTGTATAATAGTGAAACGGTAATATAGTCAATTGCATGTATCTAAATTGTATCTAGAACTTGACTTCGGCGCGTATAGAAGTGGTTCGGTAGTCGCATAAATCATCTTCTCTACGAAACCTCTCTATGGTGCATCGATTAATTTTGTTATTACGAGATCGTTTACTGAACGTTCTGCATTTCTCAGAAGTTTTCTTAGAAATCTATTACAAATATTGATAATCGTGTTGCAATCTGGAGAATATCGTAGCGACTAACAGGGAACCAGGCAGAGTTGAGCCAGATTCGAAGATTAATTGAATTTGAACGTGTTGGCGGCCATATTTGTTCGCATCAGCAGCAGCAGCAACAGAAGTAGCAGCAGCAGCAGCAGCAGCAGCAGCAGCAGCAGCAGCGGCAGTAGCAGGAACCTGAATGAGTTGTATTGATAAAATGTACTTCTGCTTACCCTGGGGAGATAGGGCGGCTGCATTAGCGGTGGCTGAAGTTGGCGGGTTCAGCAGAGGAGCATGCTGTAGAGCCAGCTGGTGGAGCTTTGTTAGCTGAAACGAACGAAGGATATTAAAATAAGTTTTTCTTAACTTTTATAAACGATCAGTCATAGAAGTTTGTTTAAAAAAACAACACCGGGAATCCGAATGACGAAACGAAACAACTTTTGCAAATATAGATCTATATTCTTCTGAGACATCGTTGCTTTCCGTTCGTGTGTACGTCTCGACAGTGTGTAGAACTAGCGCAGAAAAATCGGGACGAAGATGGAAAAACGTAAGCGAAAACAGATAGTAAACGTATGTTTGTGGTAGAACGTTTATATATAGAAGGCCGCAGCTATCGTAGATGCACATGTGAACAAAATAACTCTAATAAAAATAGATGCATATAAAACGCTGCCTGCTAAAGACGTCTGCCTGCACAATATACGTCTTCTTCTTTCAATTGCGGAGTAAGGTTTACTCAGAGAGCAAAGCCGAATGTCGGCATCGACCATAATTAATAATTCAACAGCTATATATTCACAGAAAAATAGCGGTCTTTTTCCGCTTTTGTATCGAATTTCGGTATATCTCTCCATGTGTACTGCGTACTTTGCATCAGGCTGCATTTCTCAGTTGATACCACACCCAAATCGGCTGATCTCCGCCGAATCAGACTTCGAACACGTCCGCAGAAGATTTTCTCATCGTGTTAACCTCAGATCCATTGCATCTGGACAGATGTTTTTTCAGATCTTCAGGGCTATTTGACAGGAAATTGGTGAAATGCATTGGCTGACTTTGCTCTCACAAAAAAACGTGGCATCATTTCTGCAGTTGGCAGCTCCTGCAGACGCAAGCTGAAGGCGCCAATTTCTAGAGACCAATCTCTCTTTCTCCAATTACTATCTAGTTTTCTGTCCTATTATGATTACTACTCACATCAGGATGTGGAATGGCGTACTGTCCCTGGACAGTGTAGGCCTGACCTCCAGCAAAAATGACCGGCGGCATGGCGGGCTTAGGTCGGTATGGGATGGTGGCGCCCTTCGGCGGACTTTCGAGCATGACGCAACAGATCTGGTAGATACACTTTGTGACTGCATCTGCGCAGCCCGCCACAGTGACGGTGCGCTCTGTTGAATTGGGCAACATCTCCGAGGCTACTTGCACCGAAGCGCCCGTCAGCTCACGGATCTCGCGGATTTTTGAACCGGCCTTGCCTGCAAAACGTCGCAAGGGTAACGAAAACAAGAAGTAAGAAACAACACACCATATAGAAATGTCACAATGTTTTTTAGATATGTTTCTCGCATTATTACGTCATAACCTTGGAAGAACTTCTAACCAAAGGAATTAGTATATAATTCCTTTGGCTGAAAGTTCGTGAATTTTTATATTTCAGATACCTCCAATGTGCCCATACGAAACCCCAATATATATGGTTACCATAGAAAAATACATCGTGATCTGTTACCAAATTTGTAATCAAAAGCGGTGAAGGTGCAGTTCGACACAAAAGAAGTATAAGAAGTTCGTATTGTGATTAATCTTTTTTATTCCGTTCAATGGAAAAATGACTAGACGATACGAAATAAACAATTTTTTCATGTATTTTCTTGCCAACATGCATTTCTTTGTTTACCAATAACTAAAAACCGTTGTACTTTACAAGTGTAAATTTCGATACATCGTAAAATATCTTAATATGTATGTAGTTTCTTTTGACACACGCTTTGCTTCGAAAACAGACGATCTCTCTTTTGCTATAATATTACATTACTCCCCTTGGCGTTTTCCGACTTTTAGCAGGTCACAACAGTTGGCCTGACACGACGATGCTGTTGGTCATTCGTTTGTTACTGAACACGACCAAGACTACCGTGTCCGCTCGAGCCCCCTTCAAATTTCACTCACTGCTGCTTTTGCCGCTGCTCTCTTTCTGGACCAACATCGTTCGACAGTCTTTCGTACTCTGACCTTACGACCGAGTTTCAAGTGGCCATAGTCCATCGACATCCTTTTACAGACTACTAGGCCGCCTAGCTATTCCCATGACTTAGGCTCTTCAAAACAGGGCTTCGGGCGCCTCTTTCATATCACTGATTGCAATTTCACCTCACTCTTTGCCCTAAGCCAAGTTCATGTCACATCGATCTTTCTCTGTACATGCTGACCGTTATCCCCGGTTAGGCCCCCCGGAGTTAGGTCTGAACGTCTTAGGGAGCCGTCGAATCTATCTTTACCCCACGTCCATGTCACCTCAGTCTTAGCACAACATCCGACATAAAACGGCTTTTGCAGTCATCCATGGTAAGCGACAAGTCTTCCTTTATTGTTCGACTTATACTGATTCGTTCTTCGTCCCCTTCATACCAAACCCTAACAAAGCTCGCACTGCTGCCATTGTTTTCTTTTCCAGGGTTCCTTCATGTTGCCGCCCGTCGTCAAATTTACACACGGATTCAAATCCGGACGCAGAGAGTAATCGAAAACAGAAAACGCTGTAATTTAATTTCCCGAAGTCGAGTAGAAAGCTACTCATATACGACATACGAGCATTTGTACAACGCATTTGATTTGAAACATTGTCGGAACACTTTTTATACGATATTTGAGCGCTAATAATCTAAACAAATATATCAATTCTTGAAATCATCACCTGAGATGAAATTCTGAAGTCATCTACTATAATTTTATGAGTGTGGCATCGCTGCGTTCTCGCCTGATAAGTAACACTATTGACCTTTTTTTATGTGTTGCATACCCTCTTTGTGAATATAAAGGTATTATTTAATTCAGCAGTGCACACCAAACGAACACCCGATACGGCCCGCACCAGTTCACAGGGAGGACGCAATGACTTCGTATACATTTAATACGGATGAACAAAATGCCCGCCAATGCTTGTTTACATACTAAAGCAATGAAACAACTAGCCCGTAATTGAAAGTAGAGTATTCTCTAGGCTCACTTTTCATGTAAACATGTTCATGTTTGTGTTATCCCTATAATCACATTCGACAAGGAGCAAAACCAGTATCTATTATTCAGAAAAATGGTCCTTTGTCTTTAATCAGTTCAATTCAGCCATTATCAATCGATTCGGTTTCAAGGCACAACTCCATTCTGCTCAGGATGTATTAAAAATGGCGGATCTCTCTGTATGTTGCCACACGAGTATAACGAGAAGTACAAACGCTCCTCATAGACATACGGCTCTCGGCGCAACTAGCTCAAAATGAACGAAGCTCAACAATAACCACTTATTCAAATCATCCTTATCAAGCTTAGATATAGGCTGGGGGCGAGTGCTATATGATTCAGTTGAATAACAAAACGATTGCGGAGAAGACCGGTATATCGACGGGCGAGGTGATCTGCGGGCAACGCCCGAACGACGGTGAAATACTGATGGGACAGGCCGCTTGCAGGTCGAAAAGGCCCCAAGAGATTAGTGCTTGCCAAGTAACAACGGTCGAGCTGTCGACCCAACGGGGTGATACCGTGCCGATACAGCCACCAGAAATAGCACAAGGAGAGTTGCCAAACGTATGCTTAACAGTAATCTATTAAACTAACTTTACGTCATAATAGAATACTGCGTTAAGAGCATAGCTCAGGCAAGATTAATCATTCATCATACCAAGAATCTGGGAAAGAATATTAGGCAAAGCCACTCAATTTTAGAAAGCTAGCTTTACAAATTTCAACGTCCGTATTCATGAGCGTAAAATACGTACCACATATATCTAATTTAGAATTCTTTATATATATATATATATATATATATAGTATTCTCAGATACGTAGGATAGATTCCAATAAGTGTTCATCTATTTTTGACGAATGTTTTGTTTTTGAAAATCTTTTCCTCATGATTAACACATACCACAGACGTGAATCTCCTGTCCTGAATAAATAGCAACTATTACAAATATCAACATTGGTTTTGAATACCGAAATTAAAAATACCCACAACAGGACTCACGTACTCGTGAAGCCTGGACTCGGGCTAACCCCGTTCATGATCCAAAATTTAGTCTAACACTGATGCTGCCTTCTGTCATCTGTCTTCGCTCAACAACTGCGTCAGTTGTTGATCTCGCCATAGATAGGGGCTCTAGCAAAACAACTGCCGACCACGATAACATCCTAATTATGATGGCTGCACCGCGACACGACCGTATTTTGGACTAGTGATGATCTCAAGTGGTGAAATCGTAGTACGGAACGAAAAAAATTGCATATTTATTAAAGTAGCCGTTACATCATCTCAGGCGTATACGCCTAAGCTAACACTGCCACTCACATTTCCCGTATACCCGCCCAGACGTGCGCACACACCGACAGATGAAGAGAACAGCACAGTCTCCAAGAGCGTGGCATGTACCCATAGACCCATCGTTCATTTTAATTGTATTTCACTGTACCCCCGTCACTCCTAAACAAGTGCCTCAAGCTGCCCTTTGCTCCAGTCCGGACAGTACCAACAGTGACGATAAGGGTGGCGACCCGGGTAATTGCCCCCGGCGATTGCTGCCGATCCCGCGAAAGTTCATCATCGGGAATCCGCCCACCTGTATGCTCGTCTGTTTGACTCTTCGCTGGCCCATGTCGCACTTCTCCAGAGAGCGTATAGCGTACACAAACCCACTCCTTAAGTCAGTCCCGATGAAGGCCCTTCCAGCAGCATACAAATAAACAGAGATAGAAGAAGAGAGAGCGGTCGCTCATGGGATAATAGGACGAAAATGACAGAAGTGGGTTGTTGTGATAAACATTCATGCTGAGCTAGCCAGCACCAGGGCCAGTCAGTCCACATGTTCGTTTTCATAACACTGCGTAAAACACTGCCAATGGGCCAAATAGGTGCAAAGCAGAAATGGGGCATATGCGTCCAAAAACTGCATCCAGCCGGCGAATGAATGAAACACGGGTCTCTCGGGGCACACTACAGGGACCAAGACTCCAGGCAACACTAGAGGTTCGGTCCAAGCTGTCTGTACCCTTCAAATCTACGTATTCATAGTCAGCTAGGGAGACATACACATACGTTCTCATCACAAAGGTAGAAATGACATTAGCACGAATCACGCTATCGATGAAGCGTACAAGCGTAGCAGCCGTTGGCCAGTGGCACAGAGAGTAAGGTAGTCCTGAATACAGAGATTGTTCTATCGTTATGTTTTTTTTTTTTGATTCAATCTTGTCCCTTTTTAAGCAGTCTTTGGCGGCTATTGGCGTGACCGCCTCTTGCCTGCATTTCTCCCTGATTGCAATCAATGTTAATCCCCGTTATTTAAATTTATTTAAACAGTCATCACACTTTGAAGTTCAGATACGGTCTTAATATACATATGTGTGTGTCCAGTATCAAAACAAAACTTGTTTTGTTAGTTTTTTGTTGAGTTAGCTGAATTTTGCCTTTTTTCGATCCCTATCTTATAGAGCGCGTACGATAACCTAGTGACAAACAAGGACCGCATCATGCTACAACGCACCACTTACATCCTTGGCAAAAGGAGACAACGTTACTCGGCTTTACCACCAGGGAAGACTTGTGAGCTTAGAGAATACTGACTGCTCTCTATCGTGGACACAGACTTCGCTTAATTCAAATGCGGCACGATAACCTGTAGTGAGCTACCATTCTTAGTAGTAGGACCAAGACGGAACAACAAAAAGCGATTAACGTCATCAGTTTGTCCTATATATGGACACGGCTACAATTTGGCAATAGTTGACGGCAGTACTGACTACAAGATCGGGTCTGTGTGAAGTGCAAACAAGGTCAGCTCAAGAACACAATTCGGCGATGAAACACGTTTGTAGAAGGGATCACCCCGCAGCACAAACGGCACTTAATTTCAGTAGGTCATGTTAATGTATTCATATAACGTATTTGACTTGATAAATAGTTGTAGGTAAAACCGAAAACAAGAGCGGACTTCACGGACAAATGTATACGAATATAAACATGTTAATTTTCGTTGACAATACGACAGCACATCATAGGGCAGAGATAGTAAGCGCAAGAGCTTCATCGTACGACCCAGATATGAGACGCTTATCATCGTGCCGATAAAATGTCACCGAAGGGAGGCTGTTGTCTAACGGCTAGTTAAAGAAACCACTAGACTAAGCGTACATATAACTTGTTAACGACTCAATAATCACCTCGTTTATATGTCAATAACTGACGACTGATTAGCGAAAAAAGCCCGAGTTCCGCGTATCAGTTAGACCTAGGAAAGCAACTGGGCCAAAATTGCGCACGTTCTTGAGTGGCCCAATCGAAGATTTTTGCTATTTTTACCTCGGCATAGCGCACTGCGTCGGCCTGAAAGTCTTGCTATTTTTAATCTTCTATGTAATTTCGCTTACATCTCGGTACTATAAGCGTTTACACACAAACATCGTTTCGCGTATTCAAGTAGCGTTTCGGAGTTGCTCTCTATTGGAGTGTTATTTTCATAGATTTTGGGAAAATTCGTTGTAGTGTATGTGTCTCATCGCCACGCAGAATTGATATATGCTATAAATAAACACGATATACAGTTATGAGGACCACTGTGTTGAATTTAATCGTTCCGAAATATAGATAATAAGGATGCATTGACTAACACCATCCTATGCACACGCACACCATGCGTCATCGAACTTGCATGCCTTATCTTTAACGCACTCCTCTTTGAGAATTTTAATCACATTGCATAGTAATAAAAGATCATAGATTACGATCGTCACAACAAAACGATCACAGACGAGCAAGAACTTCACACTAGATTATCCTAAGGCTGTCGCAGGATTTCAATGAGGCAGGCGCTACGAATTACCGTAAGAGAATGCTGCAAATGGACTAATTTCTGCATAACTGTATAGTACCTTTTCTTAGTTACCAAGTCAACATTATTCATTAAGGCCTTCTGGCCCGCCTGCAATCCATTCTACTTCGCTATCAACATCCCAACACATGTAGTCTATATATATATAACATATATTTTGTAGTCAGTACTGACCACAGAATCTTGCAGCAATCTCCCAAAGAGGACCGTTGCATCCAACAAAACCGTTACCCTTTCGCCACAGATGCGTACCGCGAACAACATGTAATTTCCGTCAGCGTCAAGATTGAACAGTGTAGATAGAATCAGAGCGCTTTCATATGTTCAACAACTCGCAGCATAAAGCGTATTAACAACTGCCTATGTTAATCCCAAGATCTCCGAACCTCAAGTTTCTATTAGATCGACTCTAATACGCAGAAGACAAAGTCCCGTCTTCCTACGCGCGGCTGAACGACAAGCGTCACTTGCCTGCCACCACTGTCACTTACAAAAACGTTCGTCAGAGCTTGTTAAAAACCGTTATTTGCAAGCCAACTATTCCTGTGAATACGTCGTTATATCTAACGGCCACCCTCCTGCCCTTTGGACTCTTTCCACTGGCTCAGATTTGTCCTTCCCTGGACAAGCTTTTCAATTTAAGCTATGACTATATATAATAATGAATGCAGTACGTTACGAATGCGAGCACTTACCGATAAGTGAACCGCATTGCGACGCTGGTACCACCAGTCGAAGCGTGACGGGTGCTGCTGTCTGACCAGGCCCGAGAGGCTTCCCATGCATGCCTTGCACGCCGTGCACCCCGTTAAGGGCTTGATCGGTGGGTGACCCGTTATTCAACTGGGACATCTCCTCGAATTTGGCGCAGATTAGCGAGAATGCCTTGAGGATGCTCTCAGTCGGGCCGGTGATGGTCACGATGCGCTCAGGACACGTTCCATCTGAGATATTGATTTTTGCACCAGACTCTTCGCGGAACTTCTTAATGTTGTCGCCCTAAAATCATTTGATACACACAGAGCAACAAGCCACGATGAATTATCGTCTCAAACACCAAGTCAGATAACAACGAAACGCTAAAAAAGAAAAACGTTTATCATGCATAAAATTAGGTAGGCATGTAGATTTTCAAAGATTTGTTGCCTCTGGACAAAGCAACAAATCGCTGCTTGAAAGGATTTTTGCTATAAATGCATGCAAATTATTCCACTCAACTAAACAATAGTACATTCGAGTTGCAACTACAATTTACTCCCGGAATTAGCTATATCATGCTGTTGTCACAGTTTCGTCAGACCCACATATCGCTATAATGAATACAATAGATATGAAAATTTTGTAACCCTTTATTATAAACCTTCGCCACCACTTTCTGTCATCTCACCCAATACGACAAAGGCGATACATTACAGTTTCAATGGGCATTCTCTTGCGTACATCTTGATAGCATTGAAATCTCCCCTTCCTCTCTTAAATGCTCGCCCTATCTACACCAGCAAAGTGAACCATATGGACAACGTCGTTGATCTCAGCAGGTCTCCCCCGATGTTTTTTGTTTTCGCCGCTCAAGTCAAATTTACATCTCTCTATTTTCGCTCACCGCATTTTCGCTTTGCGTAGCCACTTCGCCCTTGTTCGATGTCTTCGCCTTATCAGGACTTCTCACTTCCTCGTCAAATGCTCCGTTCGTCCTATTGCTATCGTTTTTTTCATTCGATACGCTATTGTTACCCCGCTCTTCTCTGCCCACGGCATTTTTCTCCCTTCATATCTATTCATTGGTCGTCACCTTTTGCAGTAACGGCATGCTAAGTTTCCGCAGGCGCGCTCGGTCTTCACCTTGACGCATGGTAGGGTGCCAGCTGGCAGGTTTGGTCTGGGGCTAGACTGTATTTCAGCTGGTGATAGCTATTGCACACAAACGGTAGCAAGTGGTGTACTGCGTTCTGGAGGCGACGAATGGTAAAATTTGACGACGTGCTGAAATATAGAGAACCGCCATAGAAAATAACTTGCCCTTACATATATTGAGCAAGCAAGTTTGCTGCCCTCGCAGACCGTTTCGCTCTCTTGATTCCGCGTTGTGGCCACTTTTCAAAATGAATAATTGCGGGAACGCAGGTGAGGGGCCGAGACCAAAAGTAGGGCACAGAGATACAGCTAGATCTCACAGAAACACCACATAAGATGACTATGACAACGACGAACGACCGTTCCTTTGTGCATTATTTGTTAATTCGATGTGCAGCTGCGTGGTATGGTGGTGCTATGCCAGGACAGGAGGCTGAACGTATCGATTAAATACTCCAATAGCTAACGACAACTCGTCCCATTGACGACGACGGAATGCGCTTTTCGCCGCAACTCGGAGCAACCATCGGTTTTCGGTCGTTCAACATCGCCATCGTCACTTACTAGTGCACACGTCGATTCGGAGACGACACAGCCTTTTCGTCAGTTGCCCCTCCAGCATGCCAGGACGATGAGCTAGCAAGCCACGAATGCGACACAAACCGCCATCGGCTGACAAAGCAGTCACCCTTTCATCACCCAACATTTAAATCTGTTCCGAAATCTAAATACGTCCCTGCTTAGCCATCCAACCTTTGCAGGTGTCTGCAGCCGGCGTTCTTACTTGCGCTGTCGCCTGTGACGATCCTCGACCAACACAGCAGCAGCGACATCAACGATTACGACGGCGTTGGTGTTGATGATGGAGACGACAGCGAAGCCGAGAAGGGTGTTACCGTGATGATTTTTTCGACGAAATTCGCGCCAAAAGAGGGCTGCGCTGTCAACGGTATTGAACGATTTAACTAGAGGCGTACAACAGGCAGCATGGCGGCCAATAAAGTTAACGATGTGAGCTGGTTCGATGTATATGGTAAAACCGAAAGTTTCTCGCTACAAATTCATATCACGAAACATTCATTATTTGTCAGATGGGCGCGGCACACGAATACGATAGGAAAGAAGACACATGCGAATAAGCGACCGACAGCCAATACGATTAGCAGCAGAGTCAGTCTTCAACCAGACCGTAACAGAAAGGAAGATCCAATATGCGCCATATGCATATCGAAGGAAAGAAAAAAAATATGGACGCCAAGTAGATGCACATTATTGAGAATTAAGTATTATTATTATTATTATATTCGGATCCGACAGGACCGCCGGCTGTAGTTTGTCATCTGGCCGCCATCATCACGAATATAGTAGATAGCTTTTACGTGTTGTAAACCTGCATGAACGATGTTAACATGGTAAAAGGTAACATAACATATGCATTGCGTGCATCGTATGCTCAGCCGTTAGTCAATATGGCCATTAACCCATGATCGTTGCTTATATCCAGAGTTTGAGCGGCCAGATGTGCGGTCAGACGGGCGACTCGGCCACCAAATTCCACTACCGGCCGCACTCCGTACGGCATCAGCAGTCGCTGAAAATGTGCAGCAGCAGCAGCAGCTACCTTTCTTCCTTCTTCCCATCGTTCTTCCTTTTAGCAACCGCAGAAACGAACTGCTGCTGCTGCTGCTGGCATAAAGCGAACTGTCGTCACACATGTACACTCACATCTATATGCTTTTCTGCGTTTTCCCCATTTGTCTTGTCACTCCCGCAGCCGCAAGCCCCCTTCTTTGCCCTTGGCTCGGATTCTCCATCAGTACAGCCGATACGGCTAGGGTTTTTATCTTTTTTCTTGCTATTTTTCTACACTTCGCCTGTTAAAAGTCCTTCAATCAACTAAAAAAAAGACATGAAACAACGGACAACACTCTCACCTGGCACCGACCGCTAACCGCGCCATTTCCAACATCGTTACCAGCCGTAACACCTGCTACAGTCCCTATGCAGCCCATGTTAAACACTTAATGGCAACACCTATTTACTGCCTACAACGGCAACAGGAACCAACAACATCCACCGTCGTGTCGTTGTGCAGTGGCCACAAGAGCGGCGGCAACGAGGACACACGCTGTTACGCTTTGCACCGTTTTGACATCCTCTATTTTTCAGCTTTGCTGACCCAGCTACACGCTGTAGTGGTCGACGCGGTTAGTTCCACGAAAGCAAGAACTATGGTGAGAGTACAACAACGACGATGACAAGAACAATCCGTTTCTGTTGCTACACTGTCCGGTAGATGATGGGCGACTTGTTCCTTAGGGGTTTTTCGCACTTTCTCTCACAGCCATTTAGATATAGGGAGCAAATGAGTTGCTGTTTTGGTTGGGGCCACTGTAAAGCAACCATCACCGTCGCCGTTACCTACAAGTTGTCTCAGGCTCCGACTGAATGGGTCGTCCCACTTTTTTCGAGACGGCAGCTAACAGTAGAGGTGATGGTGGACGGAGTCAATGACACTGTGGTGCTCGGGGCAACGCTTGTAGCTTCGGTGCTCAAGGATGTATCGATACAGAGCACACGAGCAAATACGATGTATGTATCAGAGGAAGTCAGAGACGGAAGCACAGAAACATGTCGAGAAATCACATCGCCATACCATGCCTCCTTAGTGAGACTCAGGCGGTGTACGAAAGAAAGCAAAATGTCTCCCCCCACTACCCGCCATCTGCTCCGCTACTTACGCACGTTTCACAGTGACACGCACTAGGCAGTTCTGCCGTTTCCATTTTGCTATTTCGTTGTTTTCTGCCACCCCTCGAGTTGCAATAAACTAACAGGCAACAGGGTGTGCTATCTGCTCACATCGGGGCTGCGAGCGGTCCTCATCGACTGAGAACATTGTAACTGTAATGGCGGTAGATGTCGAGGAAGTACTCGACAAAAAGCCCACCCGAAGTCAGCAGCCTCAGCACATTTAGCAGAAGACGATCATATTGAGAGCTTTTACCTACCATTCAGGGTGTCCACTCAAAACTAAAGCAAACCCACAGAGAAGAGAAGGAAGGCCGATATGAATCAGTACTCTAATCCCACTGTGTTATGGTTACTTTTTTTGGGCGCTGTAGAATCGACGAACCCAGTATCTATGCTAGCTGCGTCTAACAGCGTCACCTTTACCACTTGTCAATTGGGTCCGAAAAACCAATAGTTTGTCGTTCGCCCCATCCCCTCTGTAAAGACTGGGTAGATCCTATCGTCAGGCAACCTGTACCCCTAATGTGTTTGTTAGTGTCAAAAGCAAATGAAACATTCAGTAATATCGAACTGCCTTTAGACATTAAGTATTGTAACGTTCCTGTACGACAATGACCTCAGCCAAACCCAAACAAATGGGCGAACTAACTACACTCGCGCCCATCGATTAATTGTTGTTGTTATTGCTGCTGCCGGTCCTAATCGTCATAGCTGTTAGTAACGGAATTAGTGGGTACTTGGTAGGCCCTTCAACTAATATATATATATTAATAACAGATACATGGCACCCCTCAAGGGCTAATGAGGTACATTCGCGTACGAGGCAGTCGATTAGAATTACCTGGTCACTTCGCCCACGCAAAGTCGACAGCTTGCTGCCCTACCTGAGATATGATGTAGCTAGAGTTTTCGATTTACCGTAATGCTTATTTTGTAATTAGAAGATCTTCTAGAGAAGGGACGTAATTAGAAATTTTCTGAATCTTCTATATTAGATGTGACAGAATATGTTTTTTAACTAGTTCAGCGGTGTGTTAACTTGATGCAGTCGTCAAGTTACAAATTATCGATTGAAAAAGATCCTGTTGATTAAGTCGGCTACACATAACGAACATTGTCCAGTGCCTCCCTGTAACAGCTAGATCCGCAGGTTGACTCGACTAGAGAGTAGTAATACTATTGATTATATGGTAGATTACATTGCTGCTTCGGCCAAGTGTCTCTCTTCTATCACAAGCCCAGCTTTGAGAAAGCTATAACGGCAACCATAAGATTCGAGTGCCATTGAACGATGACTGATTAACGATCGCTACAACAGCACCGCAAAAAAACTGGCCATTTCGGCGGCCAGTGATCTCTAGCAAAAACAGAATGAAAAAATGGCTGAATAT